GCCTAACTGTTTGCCAAACTCCCTTCACATGAACAGCAACTGTCCAGTAATAGCTGAGTAAACAAAGGCATGCTGGGTCTGTCAGGATTTGGATGTGTCCACATGCTGAAGTGGTGTGCATGGAGCTTTAGGAAAAGTAATTCTCAATATATCAAAAGTTTGGAGGGTTGTGTATCTTTTGAGTCTTTCCAAAATCAGACACTTGGAAAAAATTATACCTAAGTAACTATATAGCATTGCTAACATTGTGTTACTTCCAAAGGCTACCAGCATATCATTAACTGAGCATCCAAATGACATTTCCCCTTATTATACTGCAGCCTACTGTATGAAATTTTGGGGATAACTAGCTTTGAAGTACAAAAACAAAGCTACTCCTTTATTTTAAGATGCTGACTTTTTGCGTGGGATTTCTTGTTTTAGCCTCAGTCTTTTAGCTTGATATCATGTGCTGTGCTCAGTCAGACAGACATTTTAACTTTGTAGAGTTAAGGATAATCACCCTGTCAGCTAGCTACATTAAAATCTGCACCAGTTGTAATTTAAGCCACCAATGACGGTTATGATGAAATACCTGTATTTTTCTACATATAGGTATGAATCTTGAGCATGAAATCTTCCAGGGTTATATGTGTGCCTACCAGCAGTAACCAAAGGAGGCAAGGCATATCGAATAGCCAGTTGCACTTGATTGGAAAACTGAATTGCTTGCTTCATTCAGTGTAGATATTGATGTTATCAGAATCTAAAAAGACTGGTCCAGTGGTATGGAGTTGGTATTAACAGTAAACGCTCATAGCAGGTCATATTTACCTGTGTCATCAGCTGCAGATCACACTGTTCTGACCCTCTTTGTCTTACCCTGGAACACAATATTCTCACTCTTGTTTCGGGTGTCTCTGGCCTTTTTATTGTGTCTGCTCAGTTCCTGCTACTTTCTAGATTTGCCTGCCAGAGGGGGGCCTGCGGTTGGGAGTGTCAGACAGGCCTCCCTTTTCTCCTAAACCACCACAAAAGAGCGCTCTTGTTTTGTCACCTCATTCTGTTTATCCCCCACTTCTGAAAGGGGGGACACGGGACGGGTGGCGTACAGACTGAGCTATTTGCCCGAAGAGACAGAGCGGCGCCTGGGGAAATGAGGACTGATTGGCCAGAGTGGCAGACTAGACTGGGATCTGGCACTAACAACACTTTGGCCAGCTTGCACTCTTCACAAGTAGCAGTGGACCAACAAATGACAGACAGCAAAGGTCTCTCCACTCTCAAGCAAAGCCTCCAGGAGTCTGTCCTGTGAAGTCTTTGAGCTTCCTATTCATGCTTTTCAATGTAGCTATCTCTCTCTTGAATGCCTCTTCTCTTTTTCCTCCCACTCATCCTCTGGCAGCTAGTTGTCTGTCCATCCTGTTGTTCACAGGGCAAGCAATGCCGAATCTACCAGAACATCCTCATGTTACATCATAACTCCCCTTTCTTGAGTGTTACAACCAATTTTTTCCACATACAGCAGGATTAGCAGGGTCAAACTGCACAGCTGACTGTGTTTGTAGCATGAGAGTGAAAGCCTAATATGTTTAGTGGAACTTATAGCCCCATCTAGAAGTGATTTATATTTGTAACAGATGCAAAAGCAATTTGCTGTTGTTTTGGTACATTTTTATTTTCATAAATAATGAGTACACTCCTGGCAGGGCATGTTGGGCCCTGCAGCAGAGCCAAGGAAACAGAGCTGTTAGAGAAAGAGAGAGGGAGAGAGAGAGAGAGAGAGAGCAGAGGAAAAAGAAAGAATAGGTCCTAAAGTGTAGTCTTTGCTCAGCTCTGAGACTTTGGGTCAGTCAGTACCCATATAACAACTTAACTTTTAGCAAGGTCACCTCCACTGCTACCAGCTACCTCTCTCTTTCAGTGTCTGGCCTAAGCCTAAATGAAAGAATTTGCAGAGCCATGTTCCTAAAATGGCTTTATCATTGTGCTAATACTCTACGCTGCAGTTTCTGTGAAGACTGTATTTGTAAGAGCAGCATTCTCACTTAGACTGGTATTAGTGCTTGATTTGATCTGCGACTGTCAAAATTATTAACAGCACTTCTCTGGGATGTTGTTCCCCAATGCCGGCACCAAGCAACAGCTTTTGATAAAGGCGCAATGCGGGTGTTACATACTGCATGCAAATGATTTTGAAAAAAGAAGAGGGGGGAAAAGCAAACAAACTTTGAGACATTGTGAGTGTGAAAGCTGCAATCAGCCTCCATCACTGATACTGTTGCAACACCTTCAGTGTATAATGTGAGCCTGCGAGGGGAAAGTGAGGAGCAGAGGCAATGTGAAACATTTTAATGTGCCTCTGTCTGCTTCCTCTGCTGTTCTAGAAAAGCTGTTTGGAAACTGTAACAAGAGCCTTTCTCACATGTGCAGGGGCGCCACAACACAGCTCTGTTGTGTAATCATTAGTTGAGGCTTCTGTTCAAGTGACTACACATACACACGCACAGCAGGGGGAACTAACCTATGAAAATGGCAAAGATTGAGTGAACATCTGAAACACTGACAAACATCTTCTCGAGCTGACCTCATGTGCCGAATGAATCATTATTGTGTATGTTTGTGTGCATATCAGTGTGTGTACTTCATATTAACCACATATGTTCACACAGTCACACTCTGGGGGAAAACAATTGATCGCTGCAAGAATTAATTCTAGCATGAAGACTTTTGGTTTTTGGTTGATACTGGATGTTAAATGTTGGGATCAGGCATTTGGTAGTTATCTTATTTTTGTCTGTTTGACAATCACTACTATCAATTATAATATTATTGCTCTCACCGAGTTAATTATTGAGATCTGTGATCAGAAACACAAGCAGTTAGACATTCATGCAGATTTTAAACAAACCCAAAGATTAGCAAAACTTATTTGGGAGACAAAACAAAGGTGATAAAATATTGTTATGGTTCACAGATTGACTGTGTTTTGGCTTACTTTTGATTTTACCTCTAGCTAATGTGGAAGATGATTTAGCTATACTGTCTGATCATTTGACTACTCGTGTCTCTTGCAGCCCTTTTGACGAACAAAAACGTCTGCATTGAACAGTTCTGCAAAACTTTAGATCCTGTTCAATGCCAATGTTAATTTTTACACACAGTGCCAATTGGAAATAAATTATAGTTGAGGTATGGTTAAAGCTACTGGTACTGAATGACAGCACTGGAATTAAATTGTGAAGTGCAGAAGAAACTGGGTTCAATACAGTCTGCATACAAGTGACAATAATGTATACATGTAGCTCAGTTCTCACTCCTCACTATAGCAGGACCCTCTGTACCTGCCTCTGCGCCTGTGTGCACGTGTGTGTGTGTGTGTGTGTGTGTGTGTGTGTGTGTGTGTGTGTGTGTGTGTGTGTGTGTGTGTGTGTGTGTGTGTGTGTGTGTGTGTGTGTGAGAGAGAGAGAGTCTGAGTCTGTGTGTGACATTGCACCAGAGGTGAGAGATAAAGCTCTCTGTCTCTTATACACACATCCCCTCCCTCATCCAGAAGGCCTGGCAGCAGGCACCAAAGCTCCAGGGACAACAGCTCACATGCAGCTCCTCATGGCACAACAAGGACCTTTACCACTCTGCATCTCATCCACTTCATTATGTCTCTCTCTGTCTGCCTCTCCCCCACTGTCTCTGCAACACGTCCCTTCAAATTAATTACTCCCCTCCAATAACTTACATCTCAAATTTGCAAAAAAAAAAAAACATGACAATGGTAGCAGCCAGGGTAACACCCCACTCCCTTAACCCTTTATTCCAGTATTCCAGCTTCTCATCTCCACTCAGTAGTGAGGTTTTGGACATTCCCTTGTTGTTGTTTTCAAATGTGGTTGATGGTATTAATTAACTCTGATTTTAATCAAAGTACAGCCTGCCTCAGAGTCTCATTTCCATGCATAGAGATGGCCCTATTCATTCAGGGGTCACAGTTAGCAAGTGTCACTCAAGGCCATGTTAATGGAAGATGGTTTGCCTCGGGATTACAAATGAAGAGAGTGCTCATTGTTTCTTGTAATCTTCCCATAACTGTTTGGATAACCTTGCTGGTCTGGAGCTTGTGTATAATGGGCTGACTCATTATCCAATCAGAGAACAATTTTAAATAGTAATTTAACATTCATGTTGTTTTCTTATATTGGTTTTAAATCAGTATTGCCAAAGCCCCAGAGAGAGAGAGAGAGAGAGAGAGAGAGAGAGAGAGAGAGAGAGAGAGAGAAAACCTGCCCATAGCAGCATCAAACCAGAGATGGGCAACTACAATGTATTAGCGGAAGTTAGTTAGTTGTACCTTCAAAATAAGAGATACCAACTGTCAAATATCGATACTAACAATGCCAATTTTAGTACGCTAAAATTTCAAAGACGTAGCAAATTGACATACGATCAAAACAGTGCCTTTTTGGGCTATTGATGGCCAAACATGGATTACCTACTGGGAAAACTAGGCACAGCAAACTGCCTCTGGGCCTAAGACCCTCATGGTCCAAAAGCTTCAGGTTCACTGTGGATAGTTTGTGTGCTAAGATGATTAACTGCAAATTTGTTATATATATATATATATATAAGCACTCTAATATGACAGTGCATGACCATGCATCTAGAATGACTAAATCTTTTAATTGAGCCCTTCATTAATCTACTCACAAACTATCTTTAATAAGTGACTGTTATTATTCAAGTTTATATTACACTAACATGGTACATATTCATATATAATTCATATATAATTCTGTTTGTCAACTTCAAATGTGACAAGATGCAATCCACAGAAGGTTGGTGGTGTTGGTCTTGGCTGGTAAAATTACCGGAGGCGTGCACCCTCACAAGGATTCAACACGGAATTCGTCCTTGCGCATCTTATTTTGAAAATCAAAAACGGAAGTCAGGTTAGTTTTGCTGACTTGACAGAAGTGTGAGTAGTTCGCTCTCCTCTCCTCTGGGCTGATCACTTGCTGCGAGGACGTGTGGATGTGCTTTGAGGTCCGCTGTGTCTCCGTGGCGCAGGACAGGAGGACGGTCGCCACGCCTTCAGGGACGCACTTTTTTCACGGCGTCAGCTCTCCATCCGTGTCGGCTGTCCACCGGTGGACACCTGTCCAGAGCCAGGACGTCTACACAAGCTGCTATCAACAGACATTTTCTCCACTTAACATCAGTCAGGCTTGTGCCTCCGGAGTCCCGCGCTACTTCTCCCACTGATGCCAGTTGAACAGGCTGTTGTGTAAACGCTAATTAATTTGGGAATATCTGGAGCGGCAGTTTTATTGATTTGACATCGGATACAAGTCGGATCAAAAATGGGGATCAAAGTGTAGTGCTGGTAAGTAGCGTGTAAAAGCAAGGTTATCCCACTACTATCATATTAGCATATTGAGATTGCGCTCACGCCCACAGCTAGTGTGCGTTCCTGTGTGTGTGTGTGTGTGCGTGTGTGCGTGTGTATGTATGAGGTGGAACGCTCCATGAGCAGCCTACCCTTCACACATTCCGACTAGAACACTGTGTCGTCATAGTAAGAACTTTTACTAGCAACAGTGATGACATCATAAATCCTTTACCGCCGCTCGCACTTTACTATGGTGAAAGCATCACAGTCTGTGGCGTGAGTCAGCGGTGTGCAGGTCGGTTTTAAAGGGCGTGTGTGAGGATCCAGTGAGGATCCAGCTCATTATAGGAGCCTGGAGTCACTGCGTCTTATGCATCTGACACATTTACAGGGGCGAATGTGAGACATGTCGCCAGGTGACATTGGGATATTCGGTAGATTGCATTGAAAACACAGACAGTAGCCACTGATAACTCGGACAAATGTCACATGTTATTACTGTTGTGGACAGGGTTTGGTTAACTGGCTACATAGTGTGAAGCTTATTTGATTTTGTGTAATTATTAACGTGGGAGTAAAGCCTCTTTGTAAACTCACTGCTGATTTTCCTCAAACACTCCCTGGCTCTCTCTTATCAGGTCTCTCTCTCTGCTTGTGTACATTTAAACGTATTTGTTATTTTGTATATGTATTGTTTTTTATTTGAGAGACAGGACAGAATGAACAGGTGTGGCACTGTTGACATTTTACTCGTTTCTTGGGGTGAAAAAAAAAATCTGCATCATCCACTGCAAGCATCGAAGAGGTGGTATAAGCAGCCTTTTCACCCAAGGGCAATGTAGCAGCTTGCACAGCTTACCAATACAAACCAAAAGGATTTGTTATCTGTCTCTTGCAGCTTACTGCAAGGTGCATGAAAGTAAGACCGGCTGTGTCAGAAAACCAGTTAGGTGGGGAGAAATTCTAGCCCAGGTTGTTGATATGACCAGTTAAGGCACTTCTGCTCCCACACCCTCAGCTCCGGTCTCCTCCTCCCCTCAGGCAGGAGAGAAGCACTGGAGTGGGGCATCACGTTTCGTGACTGTGCTCTCTCAGCACGGAGCACCAGGAGGCTGCAGCAGCTTCTCTCACCTCTTCCTTAACACATACCCAGCTCTGTCTTTCTTTACCCCCCTCCCTCTGTTTAGGATGCAACCCTGGGAAATGTGTATTTGCTCATTCTCACCTCCACTGGCAGAATGTGCTTCTGTGTGCCCAGAGGGGTGAAAAACAAAAATTCTTGTTGTTCTGTGGCATGCCTGCTGAGTTTCCTTTGTAAAATTACAAAATGCTGTAAATCAGTTCTTTGGTTCTCTCCTGTCATCCTAGCATGTCACCCACTCTGGATAAAAAGTGAATTATTTTGATCCTGTGACATCATTAGCACCTTTTGACATGGTCCTCCAGTGATCATGACTCTGTGCAGTTCTTTGTTCCACCTCTTTCTCTGGGTTCACCTATTCAGTTATGCTTGTCAGCTCTGAGCCCATAAAGCCTTGGTGATACAATGGTTTTGAACTGAAGTGACAGCTTGCTCTAACAGTATAGTAGGTACAGGTTGTACAGGCATGAGACACTGAAGCAGGGGTCTGTCAGAAGCCGCTGGTAACAAGTCTGCAGGTACAGGCGTCGACTACGGCACATGTTCCCTCCAATTCAGGCCAAGTCTGCAGAGAATAACAGGTGTGCTGTTAATGAGGGCATCGTTTGGTTTGACGTGAGATTGAGAGAGGCAAGTTCCCAGAGAATGAGGCCAGTCATTGTGTGTGTGTGTGTGTGTGTGAGAGTGTGTGTTTGTGGGGAGAGAGAGAGAGAGAGAAAGAGAGAGAGGGCAGGGTCTGTCTGGTGCAGGTCGACAGGGATGTAAACACGGTAGCTGTTAGTCTGGTAGCAATGACAGCTTTATCACCACCGCAGGGTTTATGGCTGTGTGCGTGTGTATGGGGGAAGGGGTTTGTGTGTGTGTGGTGTGTGTGGTGTGTGTGTGTGTGTGTTTGTGTGTTCAGAGGAATTATAGATCACATTTTCTACTCCAAAGACATGACAGAATTCCCCTGCTGCCTTGTGGCGGATCAGTCAAAACAGGAATCCACTACAACGTCCTATACTGGCAAACTTGTGCATGATGAACTCCAGTTAATTATGTGATTTTTAAACACAAACAAAGACAAATCAGACTTGATCACTCACTTGTCCATACTAATAGGTGTGAGACCCATCCCCCATCCTCCTGTGTTGGTTAGATGGATGAATGATCAGTCAGCAGAGAATTAAATTCTTTTGTTCCTCTCTTCTTTTTTTTTTTTTTTTGCTGAAGCCATGACATTTGTCAATTCATAGAAGGCCACTTGGGGAAATTGCATAATCATAAAAGAAAAGAAATCTATAAATAGTACAAAATATATAGCTGCACAGAGGAAAAGTTTCCTTTTGTACATTTCCTTATCTGTTCACGCATCATCTCAATCATCCTACATATTTGGGAATTTCCCCTTTTAGCATTACCACGTTTCAAAAAATTCCCAGCGCTGCCCCTGGATTGTCAAGTATATTAGATTTTTTTTCTCACCTCACATAAACAGCTCCTCAACTCAGCAGGGGCTCAATTAAAAAAAAAAAAAAGGAACAGCACTTCGTGATGGCCTGTGTACCTGACAGGCCTTTGGATGTCCTTTCGCTGCACTGCACCTTTGCACAGTGACACGGGGATGATGACAGTGATCCCGCTGACAGGCCAAGGCGGACAGGGTTCATGTGTGGAGTCACTCTGTCACAGCTGGTTGCTCTGTCATGGGAACGAAGGACAGAAAGAGAGGAGTGAAAAGAGAGAGGGAGAGAGGGGTGGAAGAGGGATTTCTGATGGAATAAAAGACAGAAGAGGGGGTGTCACAGTGGGGACTCAACAGGCATCTAATTACCTCCCAACAGGAGCCTTGACTCCTTGGAAACGCTCGACACTCTCTAGAGCTGGTCTGAGCTGCCTCCACATGGCCTGCATGCTGTCATGTGGGCAGCTATTGATGGTCTGTGAGTATGGATCGGCTGGGTCCAAAAGGTAATGAAATATGATTAGATCCCCGGTGTGTTCAATAAACCACTGGAGTAAGCATATGGATTACTCCATCAGATATAGGCTCCAAGTAATGACAGTATGTTTGGTTTATCAGGCTGGAAAGCTTCTGCACACCGGAGTAATGATATGACAGATGTGTCTCCAGTTTGCAAATAAAGAAGAAGTTCCCAAACAGTGCTCACTGAAGTCTGCTATCATACTAACTTTATCAGGAACAAGATTTTGGTGTTTGCTCTTGGAATTAAACCTCTAAATTGTTTATTTGGTATTGACTTAATTGTGTCTGCAACAGTTATCAAAAGCTCTCAAGCACTAAGTGCTTGCTCATATTTACACTGTTAATCTTATTCTTATTATTTGACAGTTTCTGATTTAAATCCTATTTTTTACAGAATTTGATTCAGAGAAAGTTCTTGTGCAGCTGCTTGTGTTTAGACATTTGAGAAGTTTTGCTTCTTTTGTTAAAAAGGGTTTGTAGGAAAACCTGTTTACATTCTACACATTGAAGGCACCCTTTGTAGGTTTCCACCTCTATCAGCAATGGAGCAGTGTTTTCAATGAGTGGGACACTCTTTTGTTAGTTTGGGACATACATAAGCAGTGCAATACACATGCCACTGCTGCCATGCCAGTCTGCTGAATTGGTGATCATAATGTGCAAAGAGGTGGAACAACCACAAAGGCAGTGAAGAAGACCACAAGACGGACATGGATGTAAACAATGTAGAATTTAGAATATTCAAGAAAATCTGCACTTTATGAGGAAGGAAAAGCATTTAACACATTGGTTATGCAGCTAGGACAAAGACCATTTTGGTATTAGTACTGAAACTTTCATTTCATATCAGAATTTGTAAATGGTGGCATGCTGTTGCTTTAATTGAAAGAAGTATTCATTACAAACAGAATTTCGTGCATAGAAAATGAGAATGCATCGTGAATCTATTTTATAGTATATGTGAAGGTACCATCTTCCCCTAGAATATTATCTCAGAATGCATCCAATAATTAAATATAGAGGTTTGAAATCCACATGTCCAAATATCAACATGAAACAACTAGATGCATGTTAACGAAGCATGTACCCTGACCTCTGTGTCTCTGATCATATCAGAATACATGAGGCATGAGTCGTGAACAGACCAGACCCTGCAATCCAACTTCACTAATTGGTACTTTGACATCATACATCAGCAGTGACACACAGTTCGGCCTCTGCCCGTGCTGGTTGTAATGAGCAGATAGATGTACTTTAACAGGAAAGGAGACAGTCGTGATGAAATTAGTAACGTCTGGTTATTAGATTTGCATCTGTTGCCTTCTCGCTCATTAGTTTGCGGCGGTTATTGTGCAGGTTTAATTGAGAGTAATACAATGCTGAGTGGGTGTTTGGATGAACAGTTTTAAATAGCGCTTAAAGGACCATTGACATAGCTGTACAAGGGCATTGTTTCATTCAGCCTTTCTGTCTGGATGTTCTCAATCACTCCGCTCTATTTTTCCTTCCCATATTCTTCCATTCACTTGGTGAGCTAATAATTCCTCGTAAGTGACACTTAATGACGCCCAGAATTATGCCTGATTCTGGACAGAGACAAAAACACTCATGTCCAATTGTCCTCCAATGAGCATTGCATCAAGGGTTGGTGGTAAATTGCAATATTATGAATAATACATGACTGTTTTTGAAAGCATTATGACCATTGTGAATGACAGATTTAGGGCACTTAGGGCTCAGACGCGCTATGTGCTCACTACGAGCCAATCTCTGCTCAGCTCCAATTATCTCTAAGTAACATGTTAGATTACCCAGTCCCATCACATGTCAGAGCCATTCAGTTCATTGTAGTGCACCATTTTCATCCTCGCCAAACTAGTGGAA